CTACTTTTTAACTATAACCAAATAATAAATTACTAATAAATAACTGGTTGATTTACCAAAGCCTTTAAAAGGAGAACTTTCGTAAACAAACAGAAAACAAGAACATGGCAGAACAACACGAACACATTCCTTATGAAGTCCCAGAACTTGGCGAATTGCACTGGATCCGTACACCGCCCAAGATCTTCTTTGAACCGCATGCTATAAGATACCTTGCCGAGTTGAAGGACCTTTCTAAGATCTTTATTGTTTCTGACCGAATGATATACAAACTTGGTTATGTCAACAGAGTCATGGACATCTTGAGAAGAAGAAGATTCAATGTCGAGATAGAAATCTATATCGACGTCCCAACTGAACCTACTATCCACGCTGTAGAAGAAGCTCTTGAAGTCATGAGAACATTTGGCCCAGACAACATCATTGCTCTTGGTGGCGGAAGTGTGATAGACGCAGCTAAAGTGATGTGGATGCTCTTCGAACATCCAGAGATCCCTATCACCGAAATCCCAACACGTTTCCATGGGCTGATGGACGATGTCTTTAAAAACCCAAAGACTGGCAAGAAATCAAGACTCATTGCAGTCCCAACAACTTCGGGAACTGGGTCAGAGGTTTCCCCCTTCTGTATTTTGGTCGACGACAAAACCAAGAAGACATACCCATTGTCAAATTATTGCTTCATCCCATCAGTCGCTATTGTTGATCCAGAATTCACTATCACGTTGCCTAAAAGAACTATCGCTGATAACGGACTCGACATCTTGTCACACTGCATCGAGGCGTACACCTCAAAGTACTCGAGCGACTACTCAAACAGCTTCGCGTTGGAAGCACTTCAAATGATCTTCAAAAACTTCAGGGGAAGTTACAACGGTGAACACGGTGCAAGATTCAATATGCACAACGCAGCGACTATCAGTGGAATGGCTACTGCTAATGGGTTTGTTACTTTCACTCTTTCATAGATCAAGTCGAATCGAATTAATAACAAATAGATATAATTGTGTCATCCACGCTTTGGCACACAAAGTCGCCGACCATTATCACATCCACCACGGTAAAATCGCAGGCATACTGTTACCATATGTTGTCAGATTCAATGGAAGTTTTGTTGAGGAAAAGTACAAGACTATTTGCTTGAGAACTCACATCCCATTGGATGGAAAGAACGGGACAGAGGCACTGGCCCAGAAATGCGAACAGTTGTTGAAAGAGACCGAGAGCACAACAAAATTCAGAGACTTGGGAATTGAGAAAGATGACTGGGAACAAAAGATCCAAATTATCGCCAATGACGCAGTAAAATTGCAGGACAACGGGTTCAACGCAAAGGTAGCAACCGTTGATGAACTTCTCAGCATTCTTAGAGCTGCATATTAAGGTGATTCGACTTTTGAGTTTGTTTGGGTTTGCCTCCAACTTGTAAATACAATTATAAAGTGAGTTATACACATTTCAGATATCTTGTGCCGCGGATGAGATGGTTTAAAACTCATCACACGCGGCGAGCGTAGACACGTTTCGAAAAACCCCAGATGAAAACCTTTTGAACATCGTCTTGCATTTATTCGCAGCAGCTGAGTTCGATATGAACAGCGTTCTCAGCTCTCGGGCTATTGGAATGACATCCTTCTCTTTGTATGTTGAATACTTCTCTATTGTCTTTGTCCAAATCGGGACTATATTCATAATTTTCCTGTGGAGAAATACTGCAGCCGCGGCAATCTGTGAAGGAAGGTACTTGGACATATTGTTGTCGATTGTGGCGATCAAAATAATGTACTTTCCCAGTGTGTGCTCCATCCCGTCCGTGTTTGCCGCGCGGTCAAACCTTCTGAGAAAATCAATTGAAAGTGGCCTCACAAAGGAATAGTCCAGCGTCTTACACACAACTCGTTCGCAGTTTAAAATTTGTTTTGTTGAGTAGACGTTATCACACACAGTGACAAAGTCATAGACCGAAAAAAATTTGAGTTCCTCAAATCGTGTGGACAGGTGTAGTATGGCGACTCCAAGTAGTTGAAACTCGTTTTTGGGTGTGTCACGGACCTTTGAGAGGTAGTCGTCAAGGAGCGCAGCGGTGAGTAGATACGTCTCGATTGTGCACTCAAAATGGAAAGATATAACCTCGAATAGCCAGTCGAGAAGAACGCACCTCATGTTGCTTGTTATACTTTGCTGTTTGTTCATGAAGTCTTCACCGAGTTGAAACACTTTCTCCTTTTCAAATAAATACGAGTAAATCTCGTTCACCAACTTTGGCTCGTATATCTCGAGTTCGTGTTCTCTTTCGTATTGATCAATATCCTCAACTTCACTCTCCAATACTTCTTCTAATCCCAATTTGATGCTTTCGGTATCTTCGTTCATGGCAGGCTTTTCTGTCTTATTTTCAACGTCGTTTTGTTGAGGAATGTTGATCTGAATGTTACCAAACACACCAGTTGGAACAGCTTTCAGTTCAATGGTTCTGTTGTTGTCTTCACTCTTCCCTTTGAACACAAACTCGGAAAGAGAAGGCATTGTTTCGCTGTGGTTCAAACTCAGCGCAACTTGGCGAAGAGGTGGGGCAATCTGGATGGTTGGATCGACGGTTAGCGGTTTTGGTTTTTGGTATTCGCTGTTTTCGGTGTCTCGCGGGAGTTTTTTCAACTCAGGTATCATATCAACTCATTTTCCAAAAAACTTGAACTCCCAAATTTTGATTCTTTCCGTCAATTCTCATTTTATCATCCAAGATTTATTTTTTAAAAAAATACTATAATATTAATTTTATTACTATTATAATAAATACTATAATAATTTAATATAAATAGTATTGAATTTTTATAAAATAAATATTTTTATTAAAATTACCGAAAAATATTAAAAAGCAGTTTTTAAAAGGCATATTAATTATAGTATTTATTTATCTTATTAATATGGGTTTTTTAATGTTTTTACAAAACAGTCGGCATCTTATGGGAATTTTCACAAAAATATACTATACTCTTATTAATAACTATATTAATAATTATTGTTAATAGACAAAACTTATGTTTTTTACAAATGTTTCTTTTTAATAAAAAAAACTAATGATCATTTTTTAAAATTGATCATTAGTTTAAAAAATAAAATTAAAAAACATTCAAAAAAACAAGATTGATTTATTATAATTTATAATTAAAAATGTTATATTTACCAATAAAATTTAAACTTGATTTTTAAACAACAGCAACAAAAACTAACATAGTTCTTTTGTCCTATTTCTTTAAAAATATCGGCAAATAAGTTCTCTTTTTCACCAATATTAGTTTATTCCTGTCTCTTTGCATCAAAATATGCCAATTTACTGATGAACAACAGACACACAGACATTTTTACAGCTGACGAATAATTATAATAAACACCCTAAACTATATTTAAATAATAAAAAACTATAACTTATACTAAAAATCATTTTCTGTGTTTTCTAGCTACAATAACGTAACTCCAAAACTCATAAGTTCAATTCGATGGGAGTGTTTCTTACTCTACTCATCGTTTTACTCGTCACAGCTCTCATACTTTATTATCTCCGTCCTAAACCATACGACCCGAAACTCAATGGATGTTACATCGGAGAAGCCAAGCCCGGTGAGACTCGCGTGCTCCGTGGATGTTTTGGAGTGGAGAAGTTAGTTGATTACAATGTCCAGCACAACGAAACCATAGCGGATGTTGTTGACAATATGACCAAGAAGCCCACAAACAAGCTTATTGGGTACCGCAAGTTGATTAAAGAAGTCCCGTATAAGACTTATAATACCACCGTTAACGGCAAAGAAGTCAAAAAAACACTTTATAAGTATCAAATGTCGGATTACATCTATTTCTCTTCTGAGGAGTTTCAGAGTTTAGTCAACGCCGTGTCGACTGCGATAGCGAACGAAGGCTTTGTGAAGGGGGATAAAATAGCGCTGTTCTGTGAGACTCGATATGAATGGATGGCTTTCTTGTTAGCTGCGTGTCGACAAGGGATAGTCATAGTGACCGTTTACTCGACTTTGTCGGACGACTCAGTCACCATTTCATTACAAGAGACTGAAGTGAAGGGTCTAGTGGTCTCTGCCGAAACCATTAAACGAATTGGAGATGTTAAACTGGACAAAACAGTTACAGTCATTTCTGTGGATGACTTCGAACAGAAGCCGACGAATGTGGAGAACAAGATGGTGTTCTTCTCTGAATTGAGAAAGACAGAAGCTCAGAAGACATTCACTCCAGTGAGTCCAACGGACTTGGCTATCATTATGTATACCTCTGGGACATCTAAAGAACCCAAGGGGATATTAGTCCAACAGAAACAAATATTAATGTTGGGCTATGGATATCATAACAACATCTTCTTCGATCAAGACGTGTTAATAGCGTATTTACCCCTTGCCCATATATTCGAATTGTGCATTGAATTTGCTGTGATGATGCACTCGGGGACTGTTGGATACGCGTCGCCAAGGACTTTGATAGGAAGCGGCGTAGTTGACTGTCAGTCGGATTTGTGTGCGCTCGAACCAACTATTTTACTCGGCGTGCCAACGGTCTTTAATAGAGTGCAAAAGGCCATATTGGATACGGTGATGCATTCACCAGTCCTCAAGAAGAGTATCTTCTTCTTCAGTTTTGGGTTAAAGGAGAAGTTGTACATCAATTACAATTACTTGAGCCCTTACCTCTTCTGGCCGATCATCAAGGTGCTTGATCTAGTGGTCTTCCAAAACTTGAAACACTCTTTGTTTGGGAAACGACTGACAAGCATTGTTATTGGCGGTTCTGCCCTTCCCGTCACATTACAAAGATTTTTAAAGACCGTTTTGCCAAACACTGATGTGATGCAAGGGTTTGGTATGACGGAAGTGTGCGGAGCAGTGAGTGTGATGCCGCATGGTGATGCGACCACTTCGACTATTGGTGTGTTGTTTCCGATGTACGAAGCGAAGTTACGCGATGTCCCTGAGTTGAATTATTTCACAAATACAGTGCCACCAAAGGGAGAGTTAATGATCCGAGGGCTTCCCGTCTCTAAAGGGTATTATAAGAGGCCGGAAGAGGACAAAGAGAGTTTTACACAAGACGGGTGGTTGTGCACTGGAGACATTGCACTTATCACCGACACCAATCACATATGTATTATCGATAGAAAGAAAAACATAGTCAAACAACCGAGTGGCGAGTACGTCTCATTGGAGTTCATCGAGTCGAAATACGTTGTCCATCCAATAGTTGATACCATCTGTGTCTTTGCTGACAATTTCCACGACTTTGTTGTAGCGCTTGTAGTGTTAAATAAAAAGGAGACGGAGGAAGTTACACAGAAGACAATAGACGCAGTGATCCAAGACAGAAGTGAGTGCGACAAAATCAAACACCTGATTGAAAAGGACGTGAGTAAGTGTGGACTCAATGAGAGACAAAAGGTGAAGCACTTTAAGTTCATAGATGATGAGTGGACGCCAGAGAATGGGATGTTAACTGCTGCGTTAAAAATGAAGAGGAGTGCGATAGAAAAGAGGTACAAAACGGAGATAGACACTATGTTTAATCTTAATTAACTTTATCGTATTGTGAGGTTCACATAGTATAAGTCACCCTTTGAACCTACACACATCAACGAAATAAATGGAAAAATCAGTCAGTTTTCTTTTCGAGAAGTGGTTTAGTCTCGTTTGATTGAGTAGATGGTTCCGTCGTCTTGTCTTTGAATACTAAAGTATCTTTCTTTATCGTCTCATTGTGTTGTGGGTCAACGCTATAATTTTGGGGGGGCATTGTCCCCGCCTCAGTGTTGAATAAATAGATGGAGAACAACACACACGCAAACAAACAGTCTCCTATCGAGAACAACACAACAAACAAATACGGCAAATCGGCGACAAATTTCAACGCGACAATTTCACTCAAGTAAACGCCCCAAAAGTGTCTGACATACAAATCCGGTAAACTCGTGTGGATCACTGAAAAGAGGAAGTTGTGGAGAGGTACTCCAATACACGCAAATACTACATTTAATAGGGAAACAGGCACTAACGGGATGAATGTATCAAATAACTGCAGTGCGCTAAAGTACCACCCAAACTTATTACAGAACCTCCTCACCTCCGCCAGCTTCGGGTAGAATTGTGCTACAATCGACATCATCGCGTTAATAATCCCGTAAAACACAAAGTTCGCAAGCACTATCCCTCCTATCGACATCACATACGAGAAAACAGGACTTCCTCGTAACACATAATTCTGCGCTATTTCCATAGAATTGGCCGTGTCTTCATTATACGTTCGGACAGCAACTATCGAGAAGAAGTACGTAAACCCAATCGCAAACTTCGTCAGTCCTCTCGCTTGTGTGTTATGTACAGCGCCATCCAGGAGCGTCCCTAGGGTTTTGGTACTCGATAGGGTTAAATTTCCTGTTTTCGCGGAAAGAAAGATGTCACGTGGAATCAGCCGCGGGACAAGTGTCTTTTCAAAGATTGTTGGTGGGACAAAGATCATCACAAGAAACGACGACAACAAAACGAGCGTGATTATATCAAAGAAAAGTCTCTGTGTTTGCATGATCTCTCTATTCGTACTTCTTTGTTTTACAGTTCTCTTTGTATGGTTTGCATATAGTTAATTTACTATTATTATATAGTTTCCTTACTGTATCTGATGACTTTTTTGTGCTTGGGACATTTCCACCGTCGAGACAGAAGGCAAAACTAGACATTACTAGAGCAAAACTATAATACTAGTAAAATGAGAAAGTAATTATAGAATAGAAAAAAAAATTAAAAAATATAGGAATAAGAAACATACATGAATTATAGTAAGAGATTATAAAACATAACTATTTATTCTCATTGGAGCTCTTATGCCTTCGAATTCGGGGAATTGGAGTCTGAAGTATGAAATGATTTTTGCGTTGTTTGTGTTGAAGTCGAGAGTCAGTGATTGTGCGTATGTTGTTATAGACTCTTCTAAGTCCGTGACACTTTTTCCTTGATCCTTCTTTAAGAAATATTGTCGAGCGAAACTGATCATAGGAGACGTTGGGACATAGGACTGAGTGGGGAAGTTACCGAAGTTCTGTTCTAATATAGGTTTACGAATGAAAGAGAGATACTTGTACTTGATGACATCTGCTCGTTCAAGACTTTTAGTTACTATAGGTAACTTCTTAGAGTCCAAATTAGTCACATTCTGACACAAAGAGACTACACAATCATTCAGTAATGTTAAGACCTCATTCATTTCATAAAAGATCACCTTAAGTATTTGTAACTCATTGTCTGTGTAAAATTGTTTATCTGTCCATGGCAACTCTACTAAGAGTTTCCACGCCTCACATAATTCGTTTAAAAACTCCAATGAAGTTTCAAATGCGGGTAACCCATTATTAACAACTGAGGGATACTTTTTAAGTAACACAATTTTGTGGTCCAAATACATTGCAAACTTTTGAAGAACCAAATTAGGGTTTTTCAGCTTGAGCCTCTCAATATGGAAGTTTTGCACATATTGACAAAACTCGACGGAGTGTCGGGAAGTTATGATATTATACCAAATGGTTAAATAAACTAAAGCTTTATCATTTGGTACTTTCTTTTGGGAGACTTTAGAAAGGTACCCAAACAGTTTTTGATGTTTTGAGGCGTCGACTAAGTACCCTTCAAATGAACTTAAGTTACTCTCTTTGTTGCTAATCGCCTTTTCTACTACGTTTTTGCCTTTAAACAAGTGTCGAAAAAAGGACATCTGAATTTTACAGTTTTAGTGATTGTTTTGTATTTGACTCGTGTTCAAGTTGATTTTGGATGGGTGAACGAAGTTCTTCTTTTTTCTATTTTTTTTTACTGAAAAGAAACATACGTCTGAGACTTTTTTTGTTTAAGATTTTTTTAAAAAGAGGGTAGAAGTGTAAATATGGGTAAATAAGTGGGATATTTTTCATTTAATCGATTTAATGTTTTTTGGACTTCAATTGTTAAATAAAAGATTTTTTGTTTCAAAAAATCGGCATTTTTTTACTTTTGGTCAAAAAGTAATGAAATGCTAAAATAGAAAAAGAATTTAATAAATAAATTGCATTAATTGGAATAGAATTGGACAAATCAGATACTTTTTTATGTTCTAAGAACCTAAATTAGTTTTTCGGCATACAATAATTGTGCTCAAAAAAGCAGAGGGAATTTTTTAATCAAATAACTTAACTATTTGTTATAGTAAAATATCTAATATTTTTTTTGAAAAAAGTACTTTGTTGAACATTTAAGAAGATAACTTATAGTTTTTTAACGGTCTTTTTCATCCAATCAACTCAACTTTTTTAGTATTTCGAGATTTTTCCACTAAAAATGTATTATATTTTACTTATTAGTTGTTATAAAATAATAATACATAAATACTGTGATCGAAAACACTAGAACAAAAATTTTATTGTTATAATTATCAATTTTTTTTGTTTCAGGTACATAAAATATTTTTGGATTATTAATATAATTATTTAATGATACTTATAATTCCTAAAATTGTTAATTCATTAAGTTGTTCTTGTTTTTTACCAAAAAAAATTGATAAAAAGCAAATTTGAATTAAAATCCTTATTTGTTTTAAAATATAATAATAATTTACCAACACAAAATCTCATTTGATCAAAAAACAATTGGTTTAAATCTATATTATTTTGATAAAAAAAGTATAATTAAGTAATAGATTTAACCATTATTAATGGAATTTATAATTAAAATAAAATGATTATGTGTGTTCATTAACCATTGTAATGCTTTTTTTAGTTTCAAACTATTTTATTCACAAAATCTCTGACATAATCAATTGTTAAATTTTTTAGAAATAAAACTATTTCTGATAATCCCTTTATTACCAAAATAATAAAGAATAATAATATTAAATTATTAATAAGTAATAAAATGGGATATTAACACATTAATTTATGTTCATTGACACTATTGGTATGTTGCCAACTTTTATCTTGTTTTTACAACAAAAACAAAAGTGATAAAAATCTTTCATTTTTTCTATGTATAACTAGAATTATATTTTATAGTAAATTATACGATAAATATTTAATAACCATAAAACAATAATTTCTAGTTTAAGAAACTAGATTGAATGACAAGAATTTCACTTAGCAGAGGCGAGACGAGCCTTTCTCTCTTCCTCTCTCTTTTTTCTACGTTCCTCAATAGCTGCTGCTCTATCGACTGGTTCTTTTTTCTCTTCTTTCTGTGGTTCTTCCTTTTTGTCTTTAGGTTTAGTCAAAGCTGAGGTTTTTGCTTTTCGTTCTTCCTCTTTAGCCTTTCTTTCTTCTTCTCTTTTCCTCCTTCTTTCTTCGTATGACGACAATGCCGAATTCGTACTTTTCTCTTCGCTTTTGTCACTACTTTCTGATGGAGTTATTTCTTTGCTTTCTTCGCCTTTATCGGAGTCTCGTCCCGCCTTTTTCAGTCGTTCCTTCTCGCGTTCTTCTCGTCGTTTTGCGCGTTTTTCTTTCTCGGAAAGTTCCTTCTCGACGTCGGCCATTGTCGGGTCAGCTACCGTTAACCCATCTTCACGCATCCTCTTTGCTTCCTCGCGCTTTCGACGGAGTCGATCCATCTTCTTTTTATCTTCCTTCTCGGCACTTTCGATGTCTTTCTGCTTTGATAGAATACGCTCTTTCTCTTGTGTTAATAAAGCCATTCGACTCTCAAACTCCGCTTGACTCTCTTTATCCTTCTTCCCGCGCTCTTCGATTATTTTCGACCGTTCCTCAAAGTCCTTCCGTTCCAGTTCGAGTGCTTCTTTCTCTTTTGCGCGCTCCTTTTGTTTCTCTTTGAGTTCTTCTATCTTTGCTTTCGCCTCTTTTTCTTCCCGTTTTGCTTTCTTGCGCTCTTTCTCTAAGCGTTTCTTCTCGTCGTCCGCCGCTTTCTTTTGTCGTTCGATGTCTTGTAACTTCTTTTGGTTCTCCAACTCCAATTTGAACTTCCTGTCTTCGTCGTCTTGCTCATTCTTCTCTTCTAAATTTTGTAATTCATTCTCTTGATCAAAGACTTTGGCATCGAGAGACTCAACGCGTTGCGCTAATTCCTCTTGTTTTGTTAATTTCGACTCGGACTGTGTTTCTAAGTCTTCTCGCTCCGCTACTACCATCATCTTCTCCGTATTCACCACTTTTTGTTGGTTCTTTGTCTTCATTATCTCTCGCTTTGTCTCTTCCGTTTCTTTCTGATTACTCTTGTGCTTCTTTTGTAACATTTTGATCTTCTCCAATTGCGACTCAAACTCCGCCATCGCCTTCTTCTCTTGTTTCAAAGTGTTTTTGTTCTGGTCTTGCAAATCAGTGAGGGTGTCCGTCTTCGTGATCGTCTCGACCTTTTGCTGATTGATGTCGTTAATTAAGGTGTCCGTCATCTTCTCCATCTCCGTGATTTTCAACTGGAGCGTTTCCGCATTCTGTTTCTCGCGATTGATGCGCGCCTCGCGCATCTCTTTCTCCGCTAACATTCGTTTCGTCTCGGCGTCCATGTTCTTTTTCACCGTATCCACCTCCTCTTGCTTTTTCTGCGTCTCCAATTGCGCAGCAGCCAATTCAGTCCGACTCTCCGATAACACGCTTTGGGTTTGTCTCAAGTCGTCTTTTAATTTGACGTTCTCTTCTTTGACGTCATTAGTGAGATTTTTAACTCCTTCGTTATCCAAATGAGCTAAAGATTCAATCACCCGCATCTCTTTTTCTTTCTCTTCTATCAATTTTTGCATGATCGCAAGTTGTTTTGCACTCTCCTCAGTCTCTTCGTTTTGTTGAATCTCCGTCTTTTTCGCTTCAATCTTCGCTTGATTCAATTTCGCCTCATCTTCTCGCGCTTGCCGGGCATCTTGGACTTTGGACTCTAAAATCAATTGATTCATTTGCTCTAACATTAACTTCTTATCTTCTAATTCATCCGCTTGTGCATCTAAAGTCTTGTGTTCCTCATCTATCGCTTTACTGATCTCTTCCGCTCGCTTCTCCTTCGCTTTGTCTTGTAATTCCTCCTTCTTTCGCGCAAGTTCTTTGATCTTCGCAAGTCGGTCCCGCTCAGCTTGTTTGTCCGCTTCCTCCTTGTCGCGAAGTGCCTGCTCAGCGGCATCCCGTTTCCGCTGTTCTTCATCTTTCGCAAGTTGCGCCATTTGCTCCGCTAACAACTTCTTCTGGCGCTCCTCCTCTTCCATTTTAAGTCGATTGACAACACCATATAAGTTGTTGACAAACCGGAAATTACGGATCCCGTCGCCGTCGACGATTTGTCGCGCATCGACAAACGCTCGCGCTCCGAGGATGTCCGCAGCCTGAAGAACGCGCTCCGCGCGTTCTAAAGGGTCGGACGTGTTTAACGCGTCCAATGTACATCTCTTATCGCAGTTGTGGAGTAAATGAGCGTACGCGACACAGTCCGTCACGTCGTCTGCAAAGTTATTAATTCTCTTTGAGACGCCTTCTTTCTCAAGAGCTTCGTTGACCCAATTAATTAAAAAGTCATTAACAGTTAGTCCCTCATTACCACTCATCAAGTCTTTAATTTTCTTCTCTTGGAATTTGTCGAGAAGCCCCCACACAAAACCAAGAACAAGAGAAGCTGAGGACTTCTCCGGTTTGGACAAATTTTGTGCGCCGATTGTGTTTTTGTTTAAAATGATTTGAGTAATACGAAGGACGTTTGTAATATTAGAATTTTTCATGATCAGTCCACTCTGCCCAAATTTAACATCCATTTTATAAGTCGGGTAATATTTTAATATAATTTGTCGAATAATCACACCATCAGAAAGGGCATAGAAAAAATCATTCCCATCTTCTTTAATTGGAATATATTTATAGTCATCTGTCATAGTCTTGTTATCCATGAGTTGACTATTTATCCACCGAACTAACTCCTTTTTATCATAGTCGTCTGGTGAATCTCTGTCGAGGATTAAAGGCCCGTCGATATAACGTTCGGGATATGTTGCTTTGTAATCAGTCTCCATCTGGAAATTGGTTTTTTTGTTTTCTTTTTATTGTCGGTTTTCAAATGCATTTTTTTTCTGTTTTTGGTGCTTTTTGATAGACAAAAGCAATATTATATCATACAAACTAAAAAGGGTTTCTACGGGTTTTCCTCACACACTTTTTTCAAGTTATACGCGAGTTTCTTTTTGACGTTTTTACGCTTAAGTTCCCCCATAATTTCTTTTTAAAAATACCAAATCTGCAGGAAATAAAAAAATGGTGGTTTAATCTATTCAAACATTAGACGATATGACACTTTTGGCTCAATGAAATGTATGGAAGTTGGTGTTTGTTAATGTGTTAAATGTGTAACCGAAAAATTATTAAAATGGTTCACTTAATAACAATTTGTCAAAATAATGTTTTTTGAATGACAAAAATAGATTTTTTTATAAAGGAAAATAATTGATTGGTCTCCATCTTTTGGGCAAAATTGAAAAAAAATCCAATTTTATGTGTTTTTTTCCCGTTCTTTAAACAAAAATTAATGGATTTTCAAGGTGTTTTTCTTTTAACTATTATCTTTAGTAAAAAAATTATTTCATTTTATATCAAAAACAAGTTCAAAATACAAACACGTTTTTATTTATAATATAAAAATATTAATTATTAAATTATTTGTCTGTGTATAATTTTTTTATAATAATAAATTGTTAAAAAATCACAAATTTAACTTTATGTTTTTTTATACATAAAAAATAATAGTTTTAAAATTATTAAATACTAATTTTTAGCAAAGCATAAATAATAGTTTTAATTTTTAAAGACATTTATTTTATTTAAAATAATAGTAAAATAAATTATTGTATAATTAATAATGTATTTATAACTCTTTTTCAAGCAAAAACTAACTAAAAAAAAATTATAAAAATAAAAAAGATCATCTATTTATAGTAATAATAAACTAATCTTATATTAAAATTGATGTATTATTTTGAAAATAATGTATACAATTAATTTAATCATGATATATTCAAAATAATTAATAACTGAACATAATTAATTAATAGTATTAGATATAACAGATTGTGTTTTTTTGTAAAAATAATTATCAAAGGAAAAGTATTTTTCAAGAACAGACTCTTCTTTTTTTTATTTTTACATTTAAACCATTACAATCAGTAAAATATCATTAATAAATATTAATGCAAGTAGAAAAAAACAAACAAAGTGAAGATCTCAGGGCATTTCTAAATGAAACAATCACAATATTCCCAAAATGGACGATCAAACAAAACAAAGAGAAAATGCCAAAGGAAAAGTTTAGTTCAACAAATCCATTTCTTCCCAAAAGTGTTTTCGTTCTGACGTGTATTAGTAAATGACCAATAACATTTATTAAAACTATTATAACAAAGAAATTATTCAATTCATTTGAAACAGAATTTATAACGGATGTTTTCCAGACACAAATAACACCACATTGACATTTTTCTCAAAAGTATTAAAAGTATAAGAGAAATATAATTTCTATATAATAACTATATAATAAATATATAATATTGATTCACAATAGTTGAACTGTGAATTATCTATGTCGCGAAAGGAATTAGGGAAGTCTGTTAGTCTTCAACTGATGAAAATTATCGGCCAGCAACATAAGCGCGCTTACACTGCTTATTTGAATAACGAGAACAATGACGATCCCCATATCGACGACTTAAATTCCGACCTACACAGTGGTGTAGCTTTAATCAAGTTCTTAGAAAAAGAGACTGGGAAGCCAGCAAAGAAGTATAACAAAGCGCCCAAGAGTGAGATCCACGACAGAGACAATTTAGAGATATTTTTAAGTCTATTAAAAGAGAACATAAACGCAACAATAACTGCTCAAGACATTATCGACAAGAATGAGAAACAGATCTTACAGTTAATGGCTTCACTCGTCAAATTCTTTTTATATAAGAACACTAACTTACACTCCACCATGTTTAATGTTTGGTTCAAAAAGATCATTGGACGCGAGATCGATTTCTCTATGGAATACCCACGCCCAGACTTCTGGGCTAAACTTTTTAATTACCTCAAAAAGGGGTTGATCGACATTTCTAAATTCACAGACAACTCAAAGGAAAACATGAAGTATTGCTTTGAACAAGCAAAGAATGAACTCAAAATCCCTTTACTCATCGACCCAGAAGAGACAGTGGAGGCTTCTTTGGATGATGAGGTACTCACTATGTATTTAGTCTTTTGTATATCAAAGGATGAAAAGCTTCAAGAAGTCGATGCCACTTTACTGTTTCTGCAAAGTAAGGAAGTCCCTTCAATGATCAAAGCCGCTGCTCTGAGAAAATCACAACGACCGAAGACCATGAATTTGTCACAAATTGGGCTGAAGATATCAGAGAAGATCGAGGCGGAGGCCGACTTGATTTCTAAGACAGCAGTAAAGTCACCGTCGAAAACGCCAAAAACTCCGAAAACACCTAACACGGAATTAAAAGAGGAAGTCGGATTGGTGGAGGCGTACGGAGAAAGAAGAGAAATGTATAACCAAATGGGAGAAACGGAATTGGAACTCCACAGAACGCGTGAGGATAATGAAAGACTTAGAAAAGCGTTCGACGAGAAGGTTGTCGAAATTGGTGACTTGAATACTAAGGTTAACACTATTAATGATAAAATCAAGGCAACTGAAGAAGAACTCGAGACTTTAAAGAATCAAAAAGAAAGCGAAGAGAATCGTGTCAATTTGCAAATTGAAGAAAAGACAAAATTGGCGGAAGAATCAACGAAAAAGGCGGAGGAACTTGAAAAGAATGTTTCTGAGATGGCTGTCGTGGTTCAAAACCTCAAAAACGACTTGGAGGCAAAAAAGAATGAGTTGGGTGACATTAACAAAGAACTGGAAAACACGTGGCAGATTTTTGAAAAAATTCTCGACGATGAAAAGAAAAGTCAAGTTGTCGGAATGAGAACAACAGAGAAAGTCCACGAAGGCTCGAAAACTTTGGCAAACGAACTTGTCAAAACTAAAAAGGAAAATGAAGAAAAAGACAAAAAAATCAACGAAAAAGACGATGAACTTGAAAAAACAAAAATTTTACTAACAGGTCAAATCACAGCGACAAATCGGGAAAGGGACGCAAAAGAAAAATTGTTAGCTGAAAGAAAAGAGAGCGAGGAAAAGATTGAAAATGCTAGAAAGATTGCCAAAGAGTTAGAAGACAAAGTTGAACAATTGGAAAAGGAAAAAAATGAGAAGGACGAAAAAATTAATAATCTTGAAGAAAACGTTAAACAAATTGAAAAAGAAAAACAAGAAAACGACGAAAAATACAAAAACGAAAATCAACAATTGAGAAACGAAAAAATAGAAAAAGAAAAAACCATTTTCGAGTTAAACGAAACAATCAAACTGCTTGAGAAAAACAATTTGACTAAAATTAGTGAAGAGGAGAGAAAAAAACACATTGAGGAACTGGAAAAAATAAGACTTGAAAATCAAAAAAATCTTGAGTTTTTGAGAGGTGAAAATGAGAGGGTGCAGAACGAAAACGCAGAAGAGGTGAAAAAATTGAAAGAAGAAATTGATAAATTAAAGTCGGACAATGAAAAACTCAAAGCCGATGCAGTCAATATATTAGAAAGGAAGAATGAAGATACAACGGACTTCAAGAAGCTGTACGAAGAACAAGTCAAGTTGTTGGAACAAACTAAAGAAGACTCAAAAAGGGAAGTCGCCGAAATAAAGAAGCAAGCCGAGGTGTTCAGCGTTGTTGACGAAGATGAAAGAAAGAGTCTATTTATCTCGATTGCGCTCGCGATTAAGCTCGTCTTAATTTCAAAAACGTCGAACGAACTTAATATTACTGAGCTATATGAGGAGGTTTGTCAAAATGCCATCCCACTTTCGAAGTGGAACCAATGGCTCACTGAACGGATGTCTGATAGAGGCAATTGATTTTTCTAGTAAATAGATAAATTTTCATGGTGTTTTTTCATAATTCTAATGAAACTATCAAAATAGATACGTCAAACCATTAACCTTACGATACTGTTACTGTTTAAAATAAAACACAAATTTTATTTTTTTTGAACTTGATATGATATACAAAAATACTTCCCTTGTGGCGGCTCTTTTTGAAATGCAAACAGTAAACAAACCAATCGCGCAAACAATAATTTATAGGTTTTCCTTTTTTTCTTTAATTTTTGGAAATGTTTTAATTAAAACACGAACAGTATTGGCGTTTTCATCAACAAAACATTTTTTTTCCAAAAAATGTTTTATAAAAGAAAAAAAAAGAATCGTAAGGTTAAATGTGGTTTTAAAGTTAACAACTCGATAATGAAAACCAAAATATCTTTGATAATCGTCTTATGAAACAAAATTGGCGCAAATGGTTTGCCCTATAAACGAGTGATTGGAATTTGAAGCTTCACAACGCCGTCGTCATTGATATACACTGGAACGGACGACCCCTGTTGCAAAATGGTGAGTGTGTATACACGGTTTTCTTTTGTTTGAAGTTCGTTGAACCTCTGTGACAGTGTCTCGATGATGAGGCCTTCGTTCTCGACTGGGTGTTCGAGTAGTTTGAAGAAGTTGTCGTCTTGCGCTGTACTCATGGTTTTCGACTTTTAACAAAACAAGTTATTCACCTTGACTTTTTTCGGTCTGACCAGAGATCTCTTTATTTCGGGTGAACTCTGGTTCACTTCCCGCTTTTTCTCGAATTTCCACCCTTATATATCAAATTTAAGAAAATTTTTCTGCTTCCGTTCCAACAAGCAGAAATGAGAAACTATATTATATAATTTGAGATAGGATAGTTATTAGTTCTTTAATGAGAATAAAATCTCCTTTGAAAGCAAAAACGGAACAAGAGAACATAAAAGGTAATAAAAAATCAGTCAATTTAGTCTTGTTTGGATTTGTGAGTAAGCTTCTTTGGCTTTTTATCCTCTTGAGGCTTTTTGATGGGTTTTTTGTCATTCTCCTTTAAAGTTTCGTCTTCGTCAGATGTATTCTCGTCTTCTTCATTAAAATTCTCCATGTTCGCATCAGCGGGTACTAAAATCATGTGGATTTTGCTTTTTCCCTCGACATAAAATGTGACGGACTTTCCAGCAATCATAAAGTCCATCGTTTGTTGTGGCTGCTTTTGAGAGAGCGTCGCAACCAATGCGCGAACCTCCTTTCCCTCGCTGTCAACTGTTTTTATAAAAAGTGATGTTGTAGAGTCTCCACTTAGAGCAATGTGGCGGACAGAAAGTGCGACTTCTTCTGTGTTGATGGGGACTGGGTCTTTGGAAACAATTCGGTAGATGGAAAACATGTCAAAAGTTTTTCTAAGTTTGTCCGTTAAACCCTCTTTATTTTATTATTTAATCACGTTTTAAATTATTCAAATTCCACTTTGACAGATTATTATAACTACAGTTTTATTATTCAGCAAATTAAAATTTACCATTTTGACTTTTAATATCCTTTTTAAAAAAATTGATTAACAAATATATATAGAATTTAAATTATTATAATTAAATTATAATATATAATTAAATTATTAAAAGAATTAAACAAACAATGTTTTAGTTAATGACAACGTTTATTGGATGGTGACAGTGATCTCGTCATCCTTTGCACCGACCACAATCTTTTTGTTTTCTTTCAAGTCGCCCTTGATGATAGCAACTGAGATGTCTGTGACTATCTTCTTCTCGAGGTATCTTCTCATTGGTCTTGCTCCATACTGTGGCGAGAAGCCGACCGTGATGATCTGATCAACTGCCTTCTCTGTCAACTCGACGTCGCATGTTGGGTAGCTCTTTTTGATTCTTGCGACAATGTCTTTCATCTGCATTTTCACGATCTTTCGCAACTCTTCTTGTCTCAATGGTGTGAAGACTACTATGTCGTCAAGTCTGTTGATGAACTCGGGCTTGAAGAACTTCTTGACGTTGTCGAGCACAGCTTCTTTCACACCACTTTTGAGGTTCCCATCCTTTGTTGTGCCGTTGAGGAGAATGTCGCTGCCGAGATTTGATGTCATGATGATGACTGTGTTCTTGAAGTCAACTGTTCTTCCTCTTCCATCTGTGAGACGCCCGTCATCAAGCACCTGCAGCAACACATTAAACACTTGCTGGTGCGCCTTTTCGACTTCATCGAACAGAACAACGCTGTATGGTCTTCTTCTGACTGCCTCTGTCAATTGTCCACCCTCGTCGTGTCCAACGTATCCCGGTGGCGCTCCAATCAGTCGTGAGACGCTGTGTGACTCCATGTACTCACTCATATCGATTCTGACAATGTTGTTCTCGTCGTCAAACAGCTGCTCTGCAAGTGCCTTTGCAAGCTCCGTCTTGCCAACACCACTTGGTCCAAGGAACATGAATGACCCAGTCGGTCGCTTGTCTGATCCAAGACCACTTCTGCTTCTCAGAATGGCCTCAGAGACTGCAGTCACGGCCTCGTCCTGCCCAACAACTCTCTTGTGCAGCTCGTCCCCAAGTTTCAGGAGTCTTGTCTTCTCGCTCTGTGTCATTCTGCTCACTGGGATGCCTGTCCATTTGCTCACCACATCTTCTATCAGCTGTGGGGTCACTTGCAACGACAGCATCGATGTCTCTTTTGTCTGGTTCTTCAATTCTGTGAGTCGCTTCTCTGCCTCTGGAATTGCATAATATTTCAAGTCTGCGGCAACCTCAAGATCTCTTGTTGTTTCCGCCTTGTGTTTCATATCTTCTATTTTCTGCGCAAGCGTCTTGAGCTCTTCGCTGCCACCTTTCTCCTTCTCGTAGTTTGCTCTCAGCTTTGTCAACTTGTCAGTGTTGTTTGACAGTTCCTTTGCTATCTCCTCCAGTCGCTTCTTTATGTTTCCCTTCTGGTCCTCTGTTGTCTGCTTCAGCTCTCTCTCAAGTGCTATCTTCTCGACTGTCAGTTGTGTGTCTTTTCTTTCCAAGTTGTCGATCTCCTCAGGCTGCGAGTTCTTCTGTGTGAAGAGTGTTGCACACGCCTCATCAACCAAATCGATTGCCTTGTCTGGCAAAAACCTTGCATTGATGTATCTCTTTGATAGCGATGCAGCTGCAACAAGAGCTGAGTCCATGATTGTCAGTCCGTAGTGGCTCTCATACTTCTCTCTGATGCCTCTCAGGATGTACAGTGTGTCCTCTTCGCTCGGCTCAGCCACATAGACCTGCTGGAATCGCCTCTCAAAGGCAGGGTCTTTCTCAACGTACTTTCTGTATTCTTCAAGTGTTGTTGCTCCAATGCACCGCAACTCCCCTCTCGACAACATTGGCTTCAGGATGTTTGCCGCATCCATTGCACCCTCTCCG